TAGTACATGTTACTTCTATATGTGTCTAGCTTAAAAGAATAGGCTAATTCTCGTGTAGATATTTCACTTCAAAGGAGCAAATTGTGGCTTAATTATGAATAGAAAAATACATAATTTGGTTAAAGATAACGAAAAAATCTATACATGCAGTTTAAAGTAAGAAACTGCCATTTAAAATATATATATACTCTCCCAGTGAAAGATCGTAAAAGGACCATACAAAAATATATATAATAACATTTTTCGAATTTATAATGAAATATATTGATGGCGATGATAAAGCACGATTTAAAATGTGCAACTGCATGTATCCCGTGATAAAAAAGGTTAACGGCGATAATTTGTATAGGACTATGCCGCCATTCTTACGATTTTGTTACGGAGATAAGTATCAATTATGTATGAGAAAGACAAGCTATTTATCTGTGTTAAAAAAAGCTATGAACATAAGCCTTGAAATGCAAGATAAGGCGCAGCTGTTGGGAATTCCCAGTGTAATATTTTGGAATCAGGGCAAACTGTACGAAAAATTTTACTTCTTTTTCCATTTTAGCGTTTGGTCAAGATATTTCTCTCTCTCTCTCTCTCTCTCTCTCTCTCTCTCTCTCTCTCTCTCTCTCTCTCTCTCTCTCTCTCTCTCTCTCTCTCTCTCTCCCTCCCTCTCCCTCTCTCTCTCTCTCTCTCTCTCTCTCTTTCTCTCTCTCTCTGTCTCTCTGTATCTCTCTCCCTCCCTCCCTCCCTCTCTCTCTCTGTCTCTCTCTCCCTCCCTCCCTCCCTCCCTCTCTCTCTCTCTCTGTCTCTCTGTCTCTCTCTCCCTCCCTCTCTCTCTCTCTCTCTCCCTCCCTCCCTCTCCCTCTCTCTCTCTCTCTCTCTCTCTCTCTTTCTCTCTCTCTGTCTCTCTGTCTCTCTCTCCCTCCCTCCCTCCCTCTCTCTCTCTGTCTCTCTCTCCCTCCCTCCCTCCCTCTCTCTCTCTCTCTCTCTGTCTCTCTCCCTCCCTCTCTCTCTCTCTCTCTCTGTCTCTCTCTCTCTCTCTCTCTCTCTCTCTCTCTCTCTCTCTCTCTCTCTCTCTCTCTCTCGCTTTCACACGCACACGCACACTTGCTCACTCACTATCCCACGCACTGACTCACCCACTCGCTTGGTAACTAACACGCCCACTCACACACTCACTCACTCTTTCTCCCCCCCCCCCTCTCGACTACTCAATATAATCAACATTGACATTGTTAACACGGTTTTTAGCATTGTTATTGCAACCAATACAAGTATAGTAGTGTGTATTTTCGCCATTATTGACACAACTACTCTCATAACCTCACGAAAGGACAAGGAAAAAGGCCAAGAGGCAACTACCCATCTCTGTGGAGATGGTGCCCCCAGGACACCTGTGCGCGCATTTCAGGCCGAACACTAAACTTAGAACACATGGGAAAAAAATATCACTGAGTATCCCAGGCCCTAAAAGAAAAAGAAAGAAAGAAAAAAAAACAGATCCTTTCAACAAGATAAAAGGAATCAGCCTCAACCTGCAGTGCGTCTCGGAAATGGTCAAGTGATAAGTGATGGTTCTAAATAATCTTTTGAAATGCGTTACTTGGAACATTAACATTTTACAGAAACGCAAGGCAGCTCTCTCTGAGTATTTTCACTCTGAAGATGTTAATGTGTGTTGCCTTCAGGAAGTCAGAACTGATGCTCGTTATGCAAAAATCACATCATGACAGACCTAATATTGCTAATCCTTCTACAATAGGACTTGGTACATTAAGAATATTATTCCATCAAAAGTGATCAATGACAAACGTGACAACACATGTGCCGAATATCTTAGTGTTAAAATATTTCTTGATGGTAAAACTATTACCATCATCAATGTATATAACCCACATGATAGTGAAGTGTTTTTTATGGGGATTTTAATGCACGTCATCCTCTCCTGGGCTCTGAGGGAAGCACTATGGGCAAAACGGTAAGGTTTATTATGACTATCTCCAATATACTAGTGACCATATACACCTGTTATGCCCCGTAGAAAAGATTCATTACTTAGGTGGCGAATTAGATTATATAGCTCTATACAATCGGCACACACTCCCTAGCACTGCGAAAGTCGTTCCAACCTTAGTCAGTGACCAATGGGCATTAAGTATAAGCCTCACATTTTGCAAAAGAAGCCTACTCCAGCCGTGCCTTTGATATCATCTTGCTACTAAACGTCATTATGAGTTTATTAAAGGTATGTCTGCTGGCATGAAGACTCTACTCCTACCAGCCTTGATCATTTTAATGAAACTCTCTGTCAGCAAGTTGGAAAGATCATTAAGTAACTCCACCCCAGAAACCCTGTCAAACATAGGTCTCCATCCACCAGAGGCAAACGAGCTCGTCGCCTGAACAAAGATCCTGAAATAAGACTACTTATATATAAAGTCTATACTTAGGAAGAAACCCTTACTTAGCTAGGGACCTTGTATACTTTAGTAAAAAGCTAAATGAGGTAATAACTCAAAAGCGAAAAGGGAGATTGTATGCCTGGGCAGAATCGAATGACTCACCGACTCCCATGAGTAATATGGGGAGGGAAATCAAAAAGAATAAAGGCAATGCATACAATGTGTCTCCCTAATCTAATCCAGAAAGGGTAGCTTTGTCACTCCTCAGTAAATGTTGCGGAAATTCCTCTCGATAATCTTCCATTATCCATACGCAGGTGTTTCCTTAAGTTAAAACACAAAAGTGAAAATGACCATCAGTGCCAGCTTTTATGTGAGGTTGATGCGCCATTGACAAGTCATTAACTTCTTGCAGCCATTAAGACTAGCAAATCCACTGTACCTGGGGATGATGAAATCACTTATGACATCATCCGACTCCTTGCAAAGGTACGGGTAAAGGGAAGAACTCCTCTTCTTGATCTCTTCAGCTTAACATGTACTTCAAGCATCTTGCCCACTGCCTGGAAACAAGCTACCATTATCTCCATCCCAAAATCAGGATGCCATGGTGAATTTAGACCAATTTCTCTGACATCCTGTCTCTCTAAAACCTATGAAAGAATTCTCACTCGTCTGCTCCACCAGATCAAAGATCAAATTCATCCATCAGTCTTCGATTTCCAAAAAGAGAAAGGAAAACAAATGTGTTTAGCCCAGCACCTAAATGGAAGTAATGTACAGTCTTCGTACTTCATAGATTTCAAAGAAACATTCGACAGAGCCTCTCCTACTGCAATCCTCCACAAATGAACTCTTCTTGGAGTTAGGGGCAAGCTTCTGCTAGGGATAAAAAAATATCTATCTGAGAAGAGCAAGGGTATGGTACCAAGGCACCTACAATGCTTATGGTGAACTAGAGTTAGACACTCCACAAAGTGGAGTTTTGTCCCCTTCATTGTTTAACATACGTATGCACTCTCTTTGTAAGCTCAACGGTGAGTTAGGAGACCTACGCAGCATCACATCTTATGCCAATGACATTCTCATTGAGGTCTTTGATAGGGGGAATATGTTTCCCAGAGATTCAGCAAAAAGTGTGCTTCCTTTGGACTCATAATCAACCCTATCAAGACTAACTACACTTTCAAATCTCATAAACTGCCATACATTCCAAAGTTAGGTGGACAAGTTATTGCTCAAAACTGACACCTATAAGCATCTTAGTGTCATGGTGATCATTGAACGTTGCTTGAAACGTTTAAGACTTTTACAGTACATAAGTAACAGATGCATAGGTGCCTCCCCAAGAGTCCTAAGGTTGATGTACATATCCCTTGTTAGATCCATGGTAGACTATGCGAGCCCAGCTCTTAGTATGTTGACACAGAATGGTCTCAAACCCCTTGAAGTCTTACAAAACAAGGCCATGAGAATCACTCTGGCTGCCTAATGACTGCTAAAGTTCTTGTCACGAGGAAAGGGCTAGACCTCCTGTCAATTCATTGTCGTAACACCCAGGTCAACACCATACTCAGCATCAGTCCTCTGCTGCTTCAGTCCAGACCACAAACTTCCGTTGCTTTGCCCAATGAGTGCGGCATGCCCGGCGCTCTCGATACTCTAGCCTGATACAGTCAAATCTAGAATGGAAATCCAAAACTGCCCAAACTATTCTCAGCTACAATGTATGGAACACCGATGCTATTAACATTCCAGAGGCAACACTTACTGCAACGTGGCATAAATCACGTGTATATGTACAGATTGACAAATTAACAAGGCCTAAATCCATGACTTCAGTAACAGAATTAAAAGGCCATGACCTGAAAAATATAGGCGAAATTCTCCATCCCCCACATGGTACCCCCCCCCCCCAGTTGCGATTTACTGTGATGCCTCTATTGATCCTCATGGAGCAGCGGGGGTTGGAGTATCAATTCCTGATATTTCTGTTAAAGAAAGCGTACGAATTTCCAACTGGGCAAGTACAACTGATGCCGAGTCAATAGCAGAGAGCAGGTTACATTAACCAGGCTACGCATAGGATATCAGTACATT